GGAGGAAACCAGAGGCCCTGGCGGAAATCCATGCAGACATAGGCAGAATGTGCAAAATCCCTACAGGGATACAATCTAAGGCTGGAATTGAGTCAGGTCTCTGATGCTGCAAGGCAGCAGTGCTAACCACTGAGCCACCATGCCACCTGGTCCAGATAATGTAGCTTCATATCTAAATGCTAATTACGTAATTAAATCATTTGCCCCGTGCCACCCCAGAAGAATGTTATTTTGGCTTCAAACACCAGCTATGTATTGTACCTTTTTCCCCTCTCTCTCCCCTCTCCATACTCCCACCCTCCCCCCACCACCTATCACCACTTCCCACTAGTTAACCAGTCTGGTGGATCAACTGTTTCTTTCTTAAATAATTGCAATCTGCGGGGGCCTTGAACTAGTGTTCATTTAACACCAAAGAGCATCAGTTGCTGATGGTGCAAGAAGACAGAGCTTGGACATTAGTGCTTGGAACTTAATTTGGGCAAAGCCCGAAAGATGGCAGCCTTATGATCTACTACCATTCCACCTCATTCAGTTCAGTTCCCACCTCTGGGCCCAGAAGATTGCGCCCTCTGATTCTGTTCCCTTTCATTTGCTACAAAAAGTGTAAAAATATGTAAGCCACATAGACTACATGGGACAGAAATAGACTATTTGTTACAATCATGTTTGAAATTTTAATGAGATGACAAGATGGAAAATTGTTACAGAACAATTCATTTTCATACGGCCCACCAACATAGCCTTTCCTTGATAAAGTATGATTTTAGTTCAATTAAAATAAACACTTAGACTTTTCATCTGATAATGATAAAAAGAATCCTATAATACTTCATGTAAACAGTTAAAAGTCTTACCTTACATGTTTCACAATCTAAATGAAGGAAATGTTGAAAATGAGAGCTAGAAACAATTGTGTGCTCATTTAGAATGACAATCGTGTAACTTTGTGCAGTTGGTGGTTGAACTTGTGCAATCCAATAAGTGAGAGACGTTATTATTACCTATATACTCTGCTATTCATCATGTTAATTTGGTTTGTCTGAGCCTTGTTTTGCTACCTCGAGGAAACAAGGCTTTTCTGGGACCAAAAATTTCTTTTCCATTGCTTATCACCAAAGAACAGACTGCGCAAAAACCTTCATGAAAAATTGCTGCTGTCACTGAAATCGAGAACTAACTCCAAGAACAGTTCCAAAAGCAATAAAATGGAACGGCAAGCACTTGAAAAAATTTGACTTTGATTCATGTATATGGGATGACATTGTGAAACATTTATATTTAAAACTAGATAGTGTTTGCTGATTACAGTCATCCCTTTGCCCTTAAATTTCATATCAGCTCAATGTGCTTTATGTAGATAAATTTTTTTGAGGTAAAAAGTGCATCTTAATAATAAACTGGGATATTAACATTGGTCACTTTGAGGTTAAAGGTTACTTATACAAAGTTGATGCTGTAACAGCGTTATCTGTACTCAAGTGGTTAGTTGTAAAGACTTCACTAAGTGAAAATTCTTAAATGTTGGGTTAACAAACTGGTGAGCTGTCTTTTATTTCTGTTGCATTGATGACTTCCAGATAAAGCTATATTTGAGTGATTTATCAGTATTTGCTAGTAAAATGATTGAATACTTTTTGAACATAGGTTGCATTTTTTGATTGAGGCTTGATCGAAAGAGAAATCTTAAATGTAAAATATGAAATTGTGTACACCATGAAGATAGCATTTGAAAAGATGTGATGCAATAGAAAATAATACTTTGTCTAAAAATGAAGGCTCTCTGGTGGGAAAACCCTCAGTTTTTCATCAAACAACATAACTTGCTAAGTCATTTTTCCTGAACAAGTTAGCATTTAATTTTATATTGTAGTCAGGTCCAGAGAATTCAGCAGTTCTGTGAGCTGCCATTTTGTTTTCATCTTCTCTCATGTAAAGCTGAGAATAAAATTCTTAAATTTAATGCTGCTGAGATGTTGGGCATACATCAAATTGATTGCCTTAACACCATGGTTATGTCAATAAAACAATGTGTTAAATGAATTTAAAATATGTAACATGACAAAAAGTTTCTTTAAAACCATCTTGTTCACTCCCATTCCCTATCACTGCCAAATTATCAGGTTTTCTTTGTATTTATTTAATAGTTGTTCCATTGGAGAGAAACAAAATTCCAACTATCATTTCTATCAACTAGCCTGATACATTTATTTACTCACTTAAATTTTTTTTAACATGTTGCATCTGCAAAATTAAGAAATTGAACATTGAACTTTGTTTCGGATTTTACACGGATTGTTTGAAGCTTTGACATTTTGTTCATGCTGTTTCAAATATCCAGATATTGATTGACATGTAGCTGAAGAGGGGTCTGTTTTGTGTCTGTGTCCCAGAATTTGGCTACTCTCAAATAACTTTAGTTTTATGTTTTTCTAGATATTGTCAGTTTTACTTTAATGGCTGCATATTCAACTGGATCAGAAATCGCCGTGGTTTGGGAATTAAATTGGATAGCCTGATTGGTTGAAATTGCAGCTTTTTATTCAGTTTGTTTTCACAGAAATCTTGTCAGATCATCTTTCAATGTAATTAGTATTTTAGCTAATGGAAAAATGTTGGCTCCTTTTAATGCTTCAGGCTGTTTTAATTAATCTCTTAAACATAAAATGTGCAATATGCTATCCACAAAACTTCTGAATGAATATAGATTTTTGGATCATTCATAAGGAATCATCTCCATTGAAAAATGAGTGTTTTCCCCAATAGACCACATTTTATTTCTGATGGTAGGTGGTAAATATAACTTTATAATCATACAAATTTGACATGTGACATTATTCAAACGTACTACCTAACACCGACACCATGCAGAATAATTATATCCATTGTCGTTAATGGTATAGTTTTATTATAATGCCATTTTATACAAATGCTAACAATTTTTCAAAGAATGAATTACAACAGACCAACCTTAGAATTACTCTGCTATCACCAGACTTGCAATGGTAAATGGCCAGTTGAGGGTTGTTTGTTGAAGTTCACCCCCTTTTGGGGAGGCAATGGCATTATGGTATTGTCACTGGATTAGTAATCTAGAGGCCCAGGTCTACATTCTGGGGACTAGGGCTTGAATTCCATCATGCTAGTTGGTGAAATTTGAATTGGTTAAAATCATGAATTACAAGCTGGTTTGATGGTCAACATGTAACCACAGTCCATTTGGTTCACTAATGCCCATTAGGGAAGGAAATCTGCCATCCTTACCTGGCCTTGCCTACGTGTTATTCCGGATCAACAGCGATGTGGTTGATTCTTAATTGCTCTCTGAAATGACCTAACAAGCCACTCAATTCAAGGGCATTTTGGGATGGCAACAAATGCACACCTTGCCAATGATGCCCACATTCCATGAAAGAATGGAGAAGTGAAAACTCTTGGTAGGACAGATAAGTTCAACAGCCTTTCTCCCAACATGGTCAGGGCTTTTGCATCTTTTGAAGACCAGCATACAAAGTGCTGTTACTAACATTCTAATCACAAAATTGTATGTAGTAACATTAGTTTGAAAATCTTGGAGAGAGTGCAAGGATCAAGTAAATGTGCAATAGAAGTCTTGAAAATTGAAATGTATTCCATTGTTTTGCAGGGCTGTTTTAAAAAACAGATTCATGTGTGTTCCACATCTACATTTGAAGAATGGCTAATGGGCACTTAATTCTATTTGATAAATTGAACAAGAAATAAGTTATGTGCATTTCTAGATCTAGTGATGAACATTTGGGATGGCACGGTGGCTCAGTGGTTAGCACTGCTGCCTCACAGCGCCAGGAACCCGGGTTCGATTCCACCCTCGGACGACTGTCTGTGTGGAATTTGTACATTCTCCCCGTGTCTGTGTGGGTTTCCTCCAGGTGCTCCGATTACCTCCCACAGTCCAAAGATGTGAAGGCTAGGTGGATTGGTCATGCTAAATTGCCCATAGTGTTCAGGGATGGGTCTGGTTGGGATGTTCTGAGGGTCGGTGTGGACTTGTTGGGCCGAAGGGCTAAAGTTTCCACACTGTAGGGATTCTATGATCTATGATAACACTTTGTAAAAAATATTTTTAAATGCAAATGGTTCTGTTGCATTGTATTGAGAAAAATTAATACTGCCCTAGTGTTGAAATTTGACATTTTAAGCTGTGAATGGTGGATGGGTTTCAATGTAATCTGAAAGGGGTGTGGTATTCTTCCCATGCAATTCTAATTTGGTCATTTTCTATTATAATAGTGAATAATCTAAAAATTCAGATTAAGTAGGATAAATAACAGAAAAGTGATGACTTCCTTTTAAAAAAAAATCAGTAATTTGACTTCAGTAACTGATTATTTTGAATGTTTCATTCATGTGATCCCACAGAAAATATTTGACAGATGGGATATTTTATAGGAACAGAAAATGCTAGAAATGCACTGCAGGACCTGATATCTGATGTGTTGTTTATTTCCAGCAATTTTCTTTTTATTTCACATTTTCAGCATTTGCAGTTTTAATTCTAGACCAGGTTTAAAGTGCATGGCCCAAAGGGAGAAAGAAGAATGTCAGATTAGGGAGAGGTTCATCACTACTCTTAAGAAGAATTACATCTAGTGAGTTCTTGACCTTCCCCGTTTGCCCTTTATCCAAACACCATCCCAGTTGATCAGAATTGAGTCACATTTACCACTTCATTGGCAGTTCTCAGTGAAATGTTTGAGACCAACTGGGAAAGAGTAGGTGGATAGACCAATTAGATCATGCAACACAGATGGATCAACACAACCCAGCAGTGAATGACGGATTTTAAAATAGTATGGGAGAGAATGTTTTTGATTATTTACATTCCTTTTTCTCTGAGAGAAGCATAAAGATTGTTCTAAACCAAAGAATACATTGAGTTTTAAAGCATTGACTATTGTATTCTGATATTAAGCATAATTAACCTCTGTCTATAATAACTGATTTATTTTTTGTTACAGACTATAGTCAGAGGAAACAGAGCATGGAAAGACACCTCTTTAAATGGCCTATTGGAAGAGTTCAATGATATTTCTGTGACTCGCTCAAACTCTCTACGTAGGGAGAGTCCTCCTGCTCCACCACAGAAAAGTTCAAACCATAGCCTGTGCAGTCCAGAAGAAAATGGCTATGGCCATTTTTATCTCAGACATTCACATGATATTGAATCTTCAAAAGATTTTACCACAGGGAAATGCAAAGAACAGAGCAATCATGCAGAAGATGGGGACAGACATCACAGATATAACAAAGTTGCTCAACAAAATGGCCAGGATTCTAACCGAGTTCAGTCTGTAGAAACATATTACTTAGAAGACAATGTACATAAGGCAGATCTTGGTAGATTGCCACCAGACTATTATGCATATTTGGTGTCAAAAATTAGGCCAACAGACCACATTGTGGCAAACAGGGACTCCCCAAGAGCTCAAAGCTCCCCACCCATTCACAGGAGACATCTACAAAGTACACCTTCTAGAACTGCTCAAAGAGAAATTCCTAGGGAAAAATTGGAATACAAAGAGAAAGACCGGGATCCAGACCCCCAAAGGGAAGATTTGGACAAACGACCAAAGTCATCTTATGTCATACAGACAAGTCCTCAACCAACTATGAGACAGAGATCAAAATCAGGATCTGGACTGCAGGAACCAAGTGTGCCATATGCTGCCAGTGCATTTAAGTCAACACATCCCACTGGACATGCATATAGTTCATACACATATCCCAGGCTGTCAGAGTCGACGGCTGTATCATGCATTCCGAAGGTAAATGTCACTTTCATATTCAAACTTTCAACACTTGTATTCACTTCTGCATTCCATCACTGTTTGGCACTGTGTGGTTTGATTTCTTTGGATCGCCATTCTCCCTAGTTGCAATTTAACACTCTGTCTCTACTTTTATTAGCTAATTCAAATATAATTGTGCTCTTTGCATTTTAGAACTAATGCTTTTTTCTAAAGGCATTTGGCCATAATGGGTTCGCATATCCTACAAGGAAAACGCGGTCATGAAGTTAAGACACGTTGTTAAGTAAGGAATGTGTTCTATATTGCAAATAAAAGTAAGTGAAGAGGTAAATTATCCTATCAAATCTGTGAACAACTGTCCCTCTGACTGATTGTTCTGAGGATACTTCATTTTTGACATGGCGATCAGTTTTTTCATTGTTAGCATTCTGAATGTTCCACTGATCATTCTTGAGTTATTGCAAATCACAGAACCATTTTTCATTTCCATTCTAATTTTGCACATTCATCAATCAATGCTGCTGTAATCTGCTTACCAGGAAATGCATGACAAGCTCAGGCCAATAGAGCCACTGATTTTCCCCATGTCCTTCAGAACTGCATTCCTTAATAGCATCAGATTAAGAACTAACAACAGGGAATTATAAGTCTTATGCTGCCAGTCCAAAGCTTTACATGTCAGATTGTTTGTAACATAGTTGAGCATTGGTTTTCATATAAAGTATTATAACTGTTGTTTCTGTAAGGTTTTCTTTTTGGGAATAAAGATCACTCGGTTGTTCCCAGCTGCACCACCTGAGATACATTTTGTACTGCAGCTAAGAGAGTAGATGGGCAATTTATAATTCAGCCTCCAATTGTACAGTAAATATTGTATTATCTAGCATGCACCAGTAACAGGTGGTGCCAGTAAATCAAAAATGACGGCTGACATTAAGTTCCCTGTTGGTAAGCTAATAACTGAGAATAGGATGTTAGCAAGACCAATGTTACTGTTCTAGTTATTTCTGATCATGATTACTATTTAAGCTGTTGACTTTTAATTAAAGATTGAGCTGTCAGTTTCATGGATGGTTGCTCAAAAGTGACAATAAAAGTAATGGGCTATTTTTGAAACAAAAATGTGCAGAAATTCTGGTTACTAGAGAGTTCCAGTTGGGCAGGACCCAGTACAGGGAATATATCTGGGCCCAATAATCAGAGTCCATCGTGTTTGGAGCGGAAGCAGGGCCATTGTGCTCAGTCAGGGACCACCAGGGCCCATGATGATGTCCCTGCCCCTGCCAGTTGGTCCAATCCCAAATAACACAAATTTTACTGCACTGCTCTGCTATTGGTACCTTGCCATGATGATACATTTTGGTAACACACATAAGCTGTCTTAGCTCTGTTGCTTATTTCTCCCTACTTTCTTCGCTGTACTTATGTAATGCCTTTGGAGTAGTTAAAAATGACCCAAGGTGTGTGACAGGAGCATTATAAAACTAAATGTTGACACAGAACCAATAGGGAAAATGTGGATGTATGGACCTTGTGCAAATACAGGAGCTGAATATTATTTAAATAGGAAAAGCTGCAGCACAGAGGGACATACATCACAAAAAGCTAGCATTCACATTCAATGGATAATAGGGAAGGCAAAAGGACTGTTGGTCTTTCTTACAAAGGGAACGGAGTATAAAAACAGGGAGATGTCGCGAAAACTATACAGGGGCCCAATCAGGCCACACCTAGACTTTTGGAACAATTTTGTTCCCTTATTTAAGGAAAGATGTACTGACATTGGAAGCAAGCCAGAGAAGGTTCACCAGGCTGTTTCCAGATATGGACAGATTATTTCTGAGGAGAGTTTGAGTAGGTTGTGCCTATACTCAATGGAGTTTAGAAGAATGCAAGATGACCTTACTGAAACATAGAAAATTCTCAGAGGGCTTGACAGAGTTGATGAGGAGAAGCTGTTTCCCCTTTTGGGAGAACAAGAGGACATAATCTCAGAGTGAATGGTCAACCAATTAAGACAGGTGAGGAGGAACCTTTTCTGTGAGGGTATTCAATCTCCGGAATTCTTCACTGTATTAGGCTGTAGAGGATGGATCATTAAATATATTCAAGGCTGACATAGGTCTTTAATCAGTAAGAGAATCAAGGGTTATGGAAATAAGGCAAGAAAGTGGAGTTGGGGATTATCAAATCAACTATGATCTCATTTAATGGCAAAGCAGACAATGCACTGAATGGCTTATTTTGCTTCTACATCTCATGGTCTTATGAAATGTCAAAAAAGGTAACTAAAAGATTGGTCACGGAGGTAGATTTTAATGCACATCTTGAAAGAGGGAAAGACAGAGAGATTTATAGAGAAAATTCCAAAGTTCAAGGCCTGGGAAGCTGAAGGCACAGATGCCAATGTTGGAACAAAATGAACAGGATTGGGCAAGAAACTGAAATTGGTGGAGTGCAGAGATCTTTGGAGGGTTGTGGAGCTGCTATGGAAGGACTTTTCAACAAGAACAAGAATGTTTCTAAAACTGTTTTTTAAAGTCAAAGATATTGTCAGGCCAGGGGTCACGCTGGATAATCAGTATACAAAGTGATGGGTAAATGGAACTTGATGCACATTACAATATGCGCAGTAGTACTATGGATGAACTCAAGTTTACAGATCATTCAAGGTGTGAAGTATATTTGTAGATCATCAGAGAACTTGAGCCTAGAGGTGACAAAAACATGGATAAGAATTTCAGCATTTGAGTTGAGATGAACTAGAAAGAAACAGCGTTATAGAGGTGGGAACAGGAGGTTTTGATAAAAGAGAGGATATTAGGTCAAAAACTCAGATCACGACTGAAAAGGATGAGGTTTTAAAAGTGTTATGAAGGCTTTGTACCTCTTGAGGGCTTGAGTTTTGTAGGCTTGCAGAATATTGGATTTATTTCAAGTTCTGTGGTGACACCTGGATTATATTTAAAGAATTCAATGAAAGTACATTGAATTTTTTTCTTGAAAAAGACACTCCGGGAAATCCCATTTAGCTAATTGCTTGCTCACTTCTTAGTTTTTTGTTTGGACACTGTTTTGCTAGGAGATTGTTTGGTTTTTCAGTTGGGAGAAAAAAGCCTATTGAGGAAAGAATATCTACCTTGTCTTCCTCCTCTTTCTGAACGCCCTTGAGTTTCCAGTGTAAAACCTGATTCACTCTTCAAGAGGACAGTGAAAGACTTGTTGATACTCTGTTTCCTGAGCAAACCGTAACTACCAAGATCCCAGAGACATTTGCACTAGTCTAGTGACCTGTGTGCAGAATGCCTGATTGGCAGCTACCTGAACATCAACATCTGACCTTTTTTTTCTTTCACAAACTAAACATTGTTGGTGAAAAGTATTTTTTTTCTCCAGAGTCTGTGCACAGAGAAAGTTGTGTTTTCCTTTTCCCTTAATCTGATGTATGTCTTTGTTGGATTATTTAGAGGGCTAAACATTTATGTTACAAACTGTGTGTTAACCAATTTTGCATCTTTGTGGAATAAGTTTTGTTTTACAATAAATCAATAATCTTGTCTTTATTAAAGAAAGCTGGTCAATGGATCATTTTATTCTAAATTTAATAGAGAAAGCATATGATTGGCCACATTGGGAACTGGGTAAAACATTAATATTGTGACCTGTGGTGTGGTGGGACTAGAGGGGGACAGTGCACTCCTCCCATCTCAATCGTAACAAAAGGCTGAGTTCTCCAGAGACATTGATCAGCGTGAGGGGTGAAATTAATAATAACAATAAAAACACAAAATGCTGGAGAAACTCAGATCTGGCAGCGTCTGTGGAGAGCGAAACTGAGTGAATGTTTCGAAACTAGTATGATTGTTCAGAATGGAAGAACAGTTCTAAAGAAGTCATGTTGGACTCAACACTAATTCTGTTTCTTTCTATGTGGATGCTACCGGACCTGCTGAGTTTCTCTAGCATTTTCAGGTTTTATATCAGATTTCCAGCAGTATTTCTGCAGTATTTTGCTTTTATTAGAGGAGTGAAATTGGTGGCTAATGCATGAAGCTTGTGGCGTAGAAATGATTTGTGTCTTTCCAATATTTAGTTGAAGGAAATTTCCTCATGCACAATGTGACAAATGGTAAGATAAATTGGAGGTAATGGAAGGGTCAAATGAGATATTGGGTGAGGGTGTAGGAAGTTTATAATCTTTTATTGTTGTGAAGATATTCAGATTTACTCTCAAATGCCCACTTGTGGACCATATTAATCAGAAAGCCCTGTAGTCCTTACTATCTATTAACAAAGATTAATTCAGTAACCTTTTTTCTAAAATATTTTATATAACTCTGTGCTATAATACAAGTAACTATGACGATCTACAGCTGAAAGAAAATGTTACTTCCCCGGTTCATGGAGCAGTATCCTTTATATAGAAAAAGCAGAACATTGCACATGCTGGAAAGCTGAGGTAAAATAGAAAATGATGGAAAATTCAGCAGATCAGGCAGATCTGTGTGGAGAGACAGACAGAGTTAACATTTCATGTCTATGACTTTTCATCAGAGCTAGGAAAAGTTACAGATATGATTAGGTTTTAAGTAGGGATGGATGGGGTAAGGACAATGGAATTACTGTGATAAAGGTGGAAGCGAGAAGGGATTGAAGGTCAGAAAAATTGGTGCTCCAAGACTAGAAATGGGACAAGAAAAGTTTTTTTAAAAGACAAACGATATTGCTAGAGTGAATGTGCTGCTGGCTGAAAAAAAGAAAATGCACACAAAAAGAAAAGGAAACAAAATGGAACACAGTGTTTTACGTTTTGTTTCTCTTTCAGCTAGTAGCACACCGACTGTAGGAACATCTTTTGTTTCTTACCTCATCTCCTAATCTAAGTACTCCTTCCCAGTATTTTAATTGTTATTCTTTGTCAGAATATTAGTTATGTCATCAAGTATATTGTTTGGAGAAATACAGTTAGAATTTTAGTGTACTGACTGGCTTGTCATAGTCATATGACATCTATC